AAGCCGACCAGCCTCCAGTCTACGCCCCCCCTGCGCCGCCCAAGAACCAACCAGCCAGACGCCAGTAAGCCCGCCATGATGACTGCTATGCCCTGGCTGACGACGTCCCTGACACCCCTGCAGTGTCAATCAACCTCGCCTCGGCCAGTACGCAGAAGATCACAATCACCATTTCTATTGAGGGGTCCCCCTGCCTAATGGAGGTCGACTCAGGCTCCTCCCGGTCACTCCTCTCCTGGGCCACCTTCACTAGACTGTGCCCGTGAGTCTCAAAGTTGCAGCTGTCTCCCTCGGACACTTTGCTAAGGGACTACCAGGGGACTAACATTCCAACCCTGGGCTGCTATGGGGTGCGGGTGCAGTACGGGGCTAACTGTTCAGTTCTCCTGGTCCTAGTCGTCCAAAAGCCCCTTCCCTCTATTTTAGGCCTTGACTGGTTCACCCCTCTGGGCTTATCCCTGACAGGGGTGCATGCTGTGGTGGACACGCCCCCTGATGTTGCGGCTGTCCTTCAGGACTACGCTGACGTTTTCAATGGCGAACTTGGGCACTATAAGGGCACCCCTATCTCCCTCAACTTGGACCCCCCAGGTTGCCCCCATCCAGCTGAAGGCCCGCAGGGTGCCTTTTGCCTTGAGGCCAAAGGTTGACGCCGAGCTAGATAAGCTCTTGGCGCAGGGAGTGCTGGAGCCTGTTGACCATTCATGCTGGGAGACCCCCATAGTGATCCCCGTGAAGGCCGACGGGTCCATCAGGATCTGCGCCAACTACAAGTCGACGGTCAACCTTGGCCTCCAGGCAAACCCCTATCCAGTCCCTGTCATGCAGCACCTGCTCCACTCCTTGGGGCAGGGCTGCATTTTCACGAAACTGGATATAGCTCAGGCCTACCAGTAGCTCCCGGTGGATGATGATGCGGCGGCTGCCCAGACCATCGTCACCCACCGCGGGGCTTTCCATTGTTGCCGCCTCCAATTCGGCGTCTCTGTTGCCCTGGGGATCTTCCAGAGCCTCATGGAGCGCTTGCTCCATGGGCTCCCCGGCTTTGTCCCTTACTTCGATGACGTCCTGATCGCTGCAAACAGCCGCTCAGGACTCATTGAAGTTCTCCGGAAGGTCCTCGACCGTTTTAGGGGCACGGGTCTCAATTTGAAGCTCAGCAAATGCTCCTTTGCTGTGCCGCGGGTGGAGTTCCTGGGCTTCTTGATTGACGCCCAGGGAATCCACCCCACCCCCTCCAAAATTTCGGCCATCAGGAACGCTCCCACTGCCACCTCCAAGGTGCAGCTGCAGGCGTTCCTCGGCCTTTTAAACTTCTACGCGCCATTCCTTCCTCACAAGGCATCACTAGCTGAGCCGCTGCATCGGTTGCTCGACCAATCCGCAGCCTGGCAATGGGGCAGCTGCGAAGCGCATGAGTTCGCGGCTGTCAAATCCCTGCTAACGTCAGAGGCAGTCTTAGTCCAGTATAGCGACAAGATGCCCCTGACTTTGGCGTGTGATGCCTCCCCCGTGGGTTTGGGGGTGGTCCTGAACCATGTCCTGCCCAATGGCTCAGAGGCCCCCATAGCTTTTTACTCCCGGACACTTTCCTCAGCTGAGAGGAACTACAGCCAGATCGACAAGGAGGCTCTGGCTGCGGGGTTAAAAAGTTCCACGATTACCTTTACGGTTGGCACTTTACCCTCTACACTGACCACAAGCCTCTCCTTGGGCTTCTGGCCGGTGATAGGCTGACCCCCCCATCCTGTCCCCCAGGATGACCCGCTGGACAGAGTTCCTAGCTGCTTATTCCTATGTGCTGTGCTACCGTCCGGGCAAGCACCTAGGGCATGCTGATGACCTTAGTCGCTGCCCTCTTCCCTGCTCTGACCCCCAGCCAGTCCCTTGCCTTTCCATCCTCTCCATTGCAGAGCTGGACCTCCCCCTTACAGCCCGTGGCCGCCCACTCGCAAGCTGACCCTGTCCTCTCCCAGATCATGGCATGGGTCCTGAGGGGCTGGCCTACAGGGGGCGT